ACTATTTTTTGCTACAGTCTTAAAGACATCTTTTTTTAAGACTTGTTCCATAACCTCAATCTGTCATCAGCAAAAGATATATGTTCTGTACCTTTGTTATCCTTTGTTATCAATGTAATCTCTGAAAGTTCTAAACGACAATTTTAAATATATGTTTAAAATTATCATTTTTAGAAGTTATATTGACAATAGAAGTTACGGAACATATGTCTTAATAATGGCAGATTGAGGTGATGGATCATGTCTTAAAAAAAGATGTCTTTAAGACTTTACCAAAAATCGTCAGAAGACGTCTTTTTGATACAGTCTTAAAGATCTTTAAGATGTCTTTTTAAAGACGTCTCTGAGACGTGTCCAAAAGACATATTTATGACGTCTTTTGGTAAAGTTTTAAAGACGTCTTTTAGATATCTTTTAGACATGCGTGCTGTCTGGGGAGTGTTCTAAATTTCGTATTGAGTTTGATATACTCCCGGAGCCATGGAGATTGCGAAAATTGCAATATGCGATGTATTTTTGTAACGCGAAAACCGTGACGAGTACATTGCTGTAGATTGCGATAATATATGATGTAACGCTTCTTATCGTACAAAATTGCGAGAAATTTATTCTGTCGCTTACCGGGTGATTTATCGCGCGTCGGACAAAACGGTAAGTTAAGTGCGCGTCGTGAAGATGTTGCGGATACTCCAAGTCTATATCGAGAATGTAATCGATAAGCGAATTCTGTGGTGTTGCGTTTACGTTAAAATTGGATACGTCGATGATCCATCGAAAATTTGCATAAAGCAATGGTTGACATATTGCCCAACCGTACAAGTTGTTAACATCAAAGTACTTAAGGTATGACGATGGATCATATGACTGCGTGTACTTGTTGTTGGCTCACGCGTATCGGTTGGAACATTGACTTCGATCACCGCGTATACCGCGTTTGATGATCATGATCATGTCGATGTCGATGAGCAGTTCGAAATTGACGCGAGTATGCTTCAACATTGCGTCCGTAAAACCCGGTAGAATATAACAATATGCACGATCGAGTCCATAACTCGCGATGCAACTATCACGAAAATTTTCAAAGATATCAGCAACAACAAGACGTCAATCTCGAGATATAGATCGCTGTATTTGCCGAGCGTTGGGATGGAGAACTGCTGCCATACATTGCCGGCGTGTGCGTAATCGTTCTCGTGACATGATGTCACCTGTCAATGAACTGTAAAATGATTCGCGTGATGGTAAACACAATTCCTCCAACTTTTTGACGCAGTCAATGTACTCGTACAGAAAGATGCCTTTTCGCGTCAGTAAATTAAAATCTTACGTCGATAAATTTTGAAACTCACATTGTATTCGTAGCTTATCTTTACTCAGTAAGGATGTCAATTTGTCGAGACTGGTATTGAGAAATTTGAATGAATCAATAAATCGTAATTTAACACAACTTTTCTGATTATTTTTATTTTCCGTATCTTTGACATTTTTTGTAAACGAAATGTATTTTTCTTTGTTATCAGAAGTAATTCTATTTCTTGTCCTTCATATACCATAGCTATTTCCGTAATGATAAAATGCGCGTCATAGCCAGATAAATTGTAAAAATTATGGGAATGCAATGCGAGTTTTTGTAATTTAAATTACAATTTGAATGCGCGGGACCTTTAAATCGACCGGTTAGATGGCAATGATTGCGTACTCGCGTGTCATCTGGAGCGAATGATTTTTTGCACACGACAGTACGTAGCATTATTAAAATTTTCCCAATCTTCTCGCGTAAAATCTGCCAATAAGGATATTAGCGGACAAAATAGTCTTTACGCGATGCACTAAACTTCTGAGTTTCTCGGAATCCTTATTGCGACGAAACCGATATGTGGATAACGAGTTATCGTACGAACAGCGTACATAATATCTTATACTAAATACCCGATGGTGCTAGTACACGTAGCTCGATGTTTTGGGATGACCATTTTCTGTTTTTTTTCAGGATGCATTCCAAGTCCGCATACATGACAAACGGGACTCGTTCCTTCCTATTATAATTGTTGAAACTCAGCCACTTGTTGTCCTCGCTCGGTAATCTGATGGCACAGTCGTTCATCTCTTTGCAGTCTATGATGTGAGCCTCCAATTTTTTACTCATGTTAAAATAGTGTAAACATCTGCCAGAAACATAATT